GCAAACTGAGTCTTTCACTTTTCTCATGGAACATCGATGGATAAAAAAATGTCACACTGTTTTAGCCAAAATATCTGGGTTTTATATTTTCTAGATTTCTAGTTGTACAACGAATGATCTTATGGGGTAATTCAGCTCAACCCCCAGACTGATTTTGAATGTTTTGATAATGATGGTCTAGTATTAAGTTTCCACATCAAGACTTTAGAAACAGTATCTTTTGATGAGCTGGTGATGACAGGGGTTAAAGGGGATATCTGGGTCTGAAGGTATAGGATAAAGCACAAAACTGTGTTTGTCTAGGAAAAAAATCAGATATTTTGTGGAATATTGAGCATCTGTGGTTACCCACATGTAGAGCTCATGAGTGTGACTTTCTCATGGGATTTATGTCCCATAATGCTGAAGAGAAGGTTATACTCTTCAAGCTATATCCATCTGACTGAAGGGGTACTTCAGAATTAACTGTATTTACCCTCTTGTAAAATGAATACTTACCATTTAAGTGAATGAAATCTGTTTCATTCAAAATCCAAAGCCAGCCAAAATCAATGAAAAACTTTCCATTAACATCAGTGAGCTTTGATTATAAGCAAAAAGAATTCATTTTGCAGGAATAAGAACATCTGAGAAGCCTTTACAAGTGGATGGAAAATAATAAGAACAGTACATTTGCACAGAATTCTTCCCTTACAGATTTCATTCTACTTTGAAAATGGACTCCTTGAACAAGCTTTGACTCCATTTAAATATTCACATATATAGAATGAGATTGTTTTATTTTCCATCATCAAACAGAACTTCTTAATCATGCTTTTTTTTTTTTTTTTCTTTCTTTTCCTTTTTCTGGTTTCTCACCAGAGTTTTTCACCACCTATACCCAGACATTAGGTTTCCTAAGACATCCAGATCCCTGCCTTGACAGGTTATTAATTATCACAGCTGGAGGTAGGGTACTGTGGCTGTTCCTTGCTGTTTGTCATTTGGCAATAAAACTGGATGAAAACTAAGGCTTTGGAAGAAAACAGAAATGAACCCCAACATTTGTATACAGAGCACATTGGCTGAACAGCTGCTGGGTTATTTTTCAGACCATCTCTGATGTCTCTTGTCCTTCTTTCTTGAACTTCTCTTTTCTTAACCTGGAGGTCTTCAGAGCTATTTCAGCTGCTCCAGCCAATGAGTCAGCTTAATCTGTAGCTTGGCTCAGATGCCTCTGTACAAACACCTATAGTATGGGGAATAAACAAGAAGAATTAGAGATGTGTACACGTCTACAGGGATATGATACCATTGGAATGACAGAAACATGGTGGGATGGCTCCTATGACTAGAGTGTTGGAATAGGTTATAGACTCCTTAGGAAAGACAGGCCAGGCAGGAGGGGAGGTGGTGTAGCTATTTATGTCAGTGCCAGGCTGGAGAGTACGGAACATTGCCTGGGGACAAGTGATGGGCCAACTGAGAATCTGTGGGTCAGGATCAAATGAAGAATAACAGTGAGGGCCATTACTGTGGCGGTCTGCTACAGGCCACCCAATCAAGAGGACTGTGTGTACCCTATAGACAGGCAGGAGCTGCCTCATGCTCTCAGGCCCTTGTCTCATGGATGTCCTTTATCATGTCCTTCAATTGCCCCAATATATGTTGGAAGAATGGTACGGGCCAGCATAAGCAATCCAGCAAGTTCCTCAATTGTGTGGAAGTCAACTTCCTCCTGCAAGTAATAGAGGAGCCAACAAGGAGAGGTGCCATGCTTGACCTTGTACTTACCAACAGGGAGAAGCTGGTTGGGAATGTGATGCTCCTAGGCAACCTTAGCTGCAGTGATCATGAGATGGTGGAGTTTGAGATCCTCAGGGCAGTGAGAAGGGCAAGCAGCAAGCTCATTGCCCTGGACTTCAGGAGAGCAGACTTTGGCCTCTTCAGGAACCTGCTTAGTAAGGTTCCATGGGATATAACCCTAGAGGGCAGGGGGGCCCAAGACTGCTAATTGATATTTAAGGATTGCCTGCTCCAAGCTCAGAAGTGTTGCATCCCAACTAGAAGGAAGTGCATCAGGAGGGCCAGGAGACCTCCATGGATGGATAAGGAGCTGCTGAGAAAACTCAAAAAAAAAAATAAATTATAAAAGGTCAAAGCAAGGACAGGTGACCTGGGAAGAATAGAGGGACATTGTCCGGGAAGCTGACGATCAGGACAGGAAAGGTAAGGCCCAGTAACAATTGAGTCTGGCCATGGATGTGAAACATAACAGGGATGGCTTCTATAGGTATCTTGCTAACAATAGAGAGACTGGGGATAATGTGGGCCCTGTCTGCAAGGAAATGGGAGACTTTTAGGATTTGGAGAATGCTGAGGTTCTCAGTGACTTCTTTGCCTCAGTTTGCACTGGCAAATGCTCTGACCACACTGCCCAAATCTTGGAAGGCAGATGCAGGGACTGTGAGAATGAAGACTTTAAGCCCACTGTAAGAGAGGATCAGGTTTGAGATCATCTGAGGAACCTGAATGTGCACAAGTCCATGGGACCTGATAAAAACCATCTGTGTGTCCTGAAGGAGCTGGTGAATGAAGTTGCTAAGCCACTGTCCATCATATTTGAAAAATCATGGCAGTCAGGTGAAGCTCCCGATGACTGGAAAAAAGGAAATATAACCCCCATTTTCAGGAAGGTAAAAGCGGAAGACACAGGGAACTACAGACCAGTCAGTATCACCTCTGTGCTTGTCAGGATCACAAAGCAGATTCTCCTGGAAAGCATGCTAGAGCACATGAAAAACAGTGAGGTGGTTGGTGACAGCCAACATGGCTTCACCAAGGACAAATCATGCCTGAACAGCTTGGTGACCTTCTATGGTGGGGCTACAGAACTGATGGACAGGGGTAGAGCAGTTGATGTCATCTACCTGAGCTTGTGCAAAGTGTTCAACACTGACCCACACAACATCCTTCTCTCTAAATTGGAGAGATATCAATTTGATGGATGGACCACTCTGTGGATAAAGAACTGGCTGGATGGCTGCATACAGAGAGTAGTGGTCAACAGCTCAATGTCCAGCTGGAGACCAGTAATGAGTGGTGTCCCTCAGGGGTTAGTGTTGAGACTGATCTTGTTAGACATCTTTGTCAGTGACATGGATAGTGGGACTGAGTGTACCCTCGGCAAGTTTGCAAATGGCACCAAGCTGTGTGGTTCGGTTGATACGCTGGAGGGAAGGAATGCCATTCAGGGGCACCTTGACACACACTCTGGCCAGTGCCAAAGTTATGAAGTTTAACCATGACACTACACCTGGGTTGGAGCAATCGCAAACACACCTACAGGTTGGGCAGGGAAGAGATTCAGAGCAGCTCTGCTGAGAAAGACTTGGTGGTGGTTGGTGAGAAACAACATGAGCCAGCAGTGTGCTCTTGCAGCCCAGAAAGCCAACTGTATCCTGGGCTGCACCAAAAGGAGTGTGACCAGCAGGTCGAAGGAGGGGATCCTGCCCCTTTATTCTGCTCTCATGAGACCTCACCTGGAGTATTGTGTGCAGTTCTGGTGTCCTCAACATAAAAAGGACATGGAACTGTCAGAACAAGTCCAGAGGAGGGCCATGAGGATGATCAGGGGACTGGAGCACCTCCCATATGAAGAGAGGCTGAGAAAGTTGGGGTTGTTCAGGCTGGAGAAGAGAAGGCTGTGTGGAGACCTCATAGCAGCCTTCCAGTATCTGAAGGAGGCCTATAGGTAAGCTGGAGAGAGACTCTTCAATAGGTATTGTAGTGATAGAGCAGGGGGTGATGGGTTAAAACTTAAACAGGGGAAGTTTAGATTGGATATAAGGAAGAAGTTCTTTACTGTAAGGGTGGTGAGGCAGTGGAATAGGTTGTCCAAACAAGTGGTAAATGCTCTATCCCTGGTGATGTTAAAAGCCAGGTTGGACAGAGCCTTTCAGCCTGGAGAAGAGAAGGCTGCATGGAGACCTCATAGCAGCCTTCTAGTATTTGAAGGGGGCCTATAGGGATGCTGGGGAGGGACTCTTCATTAGGGACTGTAGTGATAGGACAAGGGCTAATGGCTTAAAACTTAAACAGGGGAAGTTTAGATTGGATATAAGGAGGAAATTCTTTCCTATTAGGATGGTGAGGCACTGGAATAGGTTGCCCAGGGAGGCTGTGAATGCTCCATCCCTGGCAGTGTTCAAGGCCAGGTTGGACGAGGCCTTGGGTAATATGGTTTAGAGCAAGGTGTCCCTGCCCATGGCAGGGGGGTTGGAACTAGATGATCTTAAGGTCCTTTCCAACCCTAACTATTCTATGATCTTAAAACAGAGAATAATATGATAGCAGACCAGTACAGAACATTGCAAACTATGGCTGAAAATATCTTGCCTTACTTAAAGATATTTCCAAGAAATCTGCAAAACAAGGCTGAAGTTAAGATAGTGATGAGGTGAAATATTCAAAACAACCAGAAGATCCCTTTCAAAAACAACGCTGTTTAACAGGAATCAATGGTGGATCCTAAATTCCCTACATCTAGCTGTTGTCTGAAATCATTTGTCTGGATGGGTAATTCTTTTGGTTTGGGGTTACGTCTTGATCATTTATTTCATGGATGCTTGCAGTGGTGATTGCAACTGGCTAGGTAAGGACACTGCAGAAAGATGTTTGGGTTGCCAGAAAGCTTTTGGTGAGCATCTATGCCACTTGCAAAATAAAATGAAACAAGGCTCCCCAAGAGCATGCATGGGCCACGAGGAAATTCAGCCCAGGGAAGGACAGTTCTGGCATCAGGGCCAGGAGGTGCAAAAGCAGCTAAGGGGCACTGCTAGAAGCAAAGAGCCTACAGAATTTGTCCTTTCCTCAGCTTCTGAGCATCTCTGGGACTGATGACGAGCAGGGGCATTGAGAAGGAGTGGAAGGATTTGGGCAGCCCGTGCCAAGACAAAGCATCCCTTGAGAAAGATGAATTCATATTTGTCTGAAACTTGTTTTTTTTTACTTAGTACTCCTCAGGTGTATCTGCTGTTGGAAGGCTCTGAACAGCAAACAGTATCCAGAAGAGGGCAGTGCTGTACCCACACATCAGCTGGATCAGGTTGGAAAGCCAGGACCGTTGTGGAAATAGCGTGAGTGATGAGAATTTGTTCTTCTCATGTAATCAGTTCACTTAATTGGGGACAGATTCTTCTGCCACATTTGCATTCATTTTATTTTTGTATCTAGTCAATCTCTATCATGGAAGGTGCTAGATGTTGTCAAGTAAATCATGACAGAAACACTGCCTTACAGTTTTACTTTTCCTCATAGTTAGAATGAGATCTGAGAGAAAAAGGGACGTATCAACATCCTAAGCTGGAATTTATTAACGTTGCTAAAAAGCAAAGACTTTATCACCTGAGGAACGCTTTGCAATGTTTCTTGAAAGTGAACAAACTCTGTCTCCTTTCTCCTTTCTCCAGAAGTTTTGCTGTGCCCAGATCCTTCAGCCTGGATAACCATCACCTGTAACTCATTTGCATACTGTGCCAGGCTTCCTCATTGATGTCATCCTAAAGGACCCCCGCAGCTTTGGCTACGATCAAATGCAGCTAAATCAATTGAGATCAGATCCTTTCATTGCCTTGCAGCATGTGCTAAGGCCTTAAATTGTGGAAGGAGGTAGGGAGTGAGCTGATAACAAAGCTCCTAAAATACAGAAGAGAGGCATTGCATTTGAACTAACTAGAACCAGACAGTGATCTACTGTGATCCACACTGCACACGACAAATGCATAGGTCATCCTGCCCTCCATTTGGGAAGAAAGGGAGAAATGACAGATGCACTTTGGCTTCCAGGAGAAAATGTATGTGGATCTGTGAACTGAAGTGTCTCTGGAGCCACAAGAAGCGTCTAGCACTCTGTGCTGGCAAAGAGGGTGTTTTATGCCCAGCAATCTGAAAGACTGGGACATAAGCCTGTGTCCCTATAAAGGCTTCTGGCAGTACCTGCCATTTATCTGCTCTGTACTTGTTTTCAGAAACAGGTACTTCTTTCTTGTCTGAATTTCCCTTGACAAGTGTGCAGTCCTCCAGTTGCTCCTCCACTGAAATGGAGATCTGTATGTTTAAGACCTGCATGTTTAACTCCTGCCTTCTACTTCACTGCTGCTCAGTCTACATCCAAGAGATGCCTAAGAGATGCCCACCACACAACAGCCTCTCTCCTTCTCCTGAACTGGTCACATATGACTTTGGGGAAAATATGGACAAAATCTTGAAAGAGAATCTCTACCTCTTTCATCAATGCAAATACTGTATATTAGAAATGAGTCACAACACAGGAGGGATGCAGTGAGCAGTCTTCATTTACCAGCCTTTAAATATGGGCAAAAAGGAATGGAAAAGTTGCCAACTAGATGAATTTTCATCTTTACCTCACCCAAATCCCTTAGTGCTAGTCGTTATTGCTGAATGTTAACATCACCATTCAAAGAAAACTTGTTTGCAAATTTGTCTTGAGGACAATTTATGGAAGATGTTCAGGGCATGACCTTTTTTCTATTCACTTCCTCCCTGCAGTCACAACAAGCCTGAGGCTATGCTACTAAAATAATGACCTCAGACTTTGCAAAATAAGCAGGGTGAGGACTAGGATGTATTTGACTTACAGAAATCTCTTAGACAAATCCAGAAGCCCTCAGGAGAATTAAAGGGCTGAACCAGTGTCACTGGATGATGGGTGTTTCTGATCTGCTGCTTTTTACAGAACTTCTCCCTCAGGTAGTGCACTTACCTACATATGGGGATACTCAATCATGCATCTGTAATTGGGACTTTCCCCTAATGGGAAAGCTTTCAGACTTCTCTTTGGTTATTAGTCAGAAAGATCCCATCAAACCTACTGAGGGGAGCAGACTATTTAAATGTAATGTGGGGAGAGGTGAACATAAAAGAATTATTCACAGCCAGTACATTCTATTTGCTTGACATCTGCTGTGGGGTCTGAAGTGAAATTATACCCAAACACGCTAGAGTGCAAATAGCTGGGATATAAAATGGCAAAGTATTTCTTTTGCCACGACAGAACCTTTCAAAGGAAAGGACATACTGAGGGCCTTATCATCATTCTCATTCATGCTTTCTGAGCCAGTCATTTAGGGATTGCTGAATTGTTGCTATTTTGAAAACTTCAGAAGAAGGAAAGCTGAAATCTGAACAGTCATTGTCTGATTACACCAGTTCCTCCTGAAATGTTACGTGTATATAATGCTTTTTCCTTATGCAGCTTAAACTGATGATTGATACACTAAAATGCTGTTGTGCAAAGGAAGAAGCAGATGCTTTCTACTGGTTAGTGTACTTTTTCTTGGTGGAATTTCTGTAAAGGTCATGGGCTTTTTAATATGTTATATCCAAGAGGCTCTGTCCCTAGGTTGAATATTTGCCCTTGGGATCCAAGTACACACAGGTGCTTCTGCAGTGGGATATAAAAATCCCTTTCCCCCACCTTACTGCCTCACTGAACTGGTTATCTTGGAAAGAAACCCATTGCTGCCATCCTCCTATTTACCACAAGCGAAGGTCAGTCAATACCCTACCAGTTTCCATTCTCCTTCCATAATTGCTTCTCATATTAAAAGAAACATTTTTTATTATTATCTGCCAGTGTATCTGCCCAATATATTTTGAAAGCTTAATTTTGCATGCTAGTGTAAGCCCAGTTTCAAGGGTAGCCTAAGCTAATATTGAGTCTCCCGAATTCACTGTTCAACCTATAAGCACATATTTCATTACAGTGTCTATCAGGGATAAGTGGTGACAAAAAGCAGAAAGGAATAATGCCTTACACTCCCAAGTTAAATTTCAAAAACCTTTAGTCTCTCTGAGTCTGTCTTCTACCTGCAAAAGTAGTTAGGAAGATAAATGTCTAAAAGCTTCTGCAGTGTGCTGTATCAAAGATAGCAAATGTAACAAAGCTAGACTGAATAGATTAAATGGAAATCCCAGCCAGCCTGGTTTTCATCATTGAAAACTGATAGGATAATCTGGGTCTGATACATTTTTTCTGGTTGTACTTCCTCAACAGTATGCCAGGTATACAAGTTAGTTAAAACACTAGTAATTTATTCCACCATTTCCAGCATTGAAATCCCTTGCTGACATGTTGATGAAACTCTGCTCAGTTGGAAAGACTAATTAAATGCACAGCAGTTTACAAAGCTGGCTAAATTCAGACACAGTCTAATGCAAAGCAGAGAAATCTGACCAATATGAAAAGCCAGGCTTTTTGAGAGGCATTAAAAAAATGAAGAAAGGGTTTAGAAAATGAAAAAAAAGTAAAGGACCATCTAAGTATGTATTAGATACGTATGTATGTGTATATACGTACATACACACAAATACTTATGCGTATATATACATACATATACACGCAACAGGGACAAAACCGAGATGGTGTGATTATCAAATTGAGTGATAATAAATCCCTTGGCTTTTGCTTAAATAATAAAGATTAAACAGCACAGTGGTTTCCCAGAAAGTCCTCTCATGTTTGGCAAACTTCTAAACCGCAAAATAATAGTTTTAAGCCTTAGCCTTTCTCTATTGAGTTCACTGAGATTCCTTTTGCTGAGTCAGTGCATAACATTACCATGTGTGTTTATACTAACAGGTCCACAAGTCCTTTTGGCTGAAAAATTAGTGAAATTGCCTATGCTTTTGGTTAATTGATGAACAATCAAATATCATCTAATATTATGTTGCTTCAGACAGTCTGCTCATTTGGATTAAATTATATAGTTGAGAGATAAAGTGTACTTAGTTATCAGTGAGGTGATATGTCACAGTTGGCCATTTTTATTTTCATGCTGCTTTTGCCTGTATTGCTTGTTTTGGTTTTTTTGGTAATCAGATAAAATAGCTTCAGTTTTGCATTGGGTTTAATTCCAATTTAAATTAAACTGGATTTCATAGAATCATAGAATAGTTAGGGTTGGAAAGGACCTTAAGATCATCAAGTTCCAACCCCCCTGCCATGGGCAGGGACAACTCGCTCTAAACCGTATTACCCAAGGCCTCGTCCAACCTGGCCTTGAACACTGTCAGGGATGGAGCATTCACAACCTCCCTGGGCGACCTATTCCAGTGCCTCACCACCCTAACAGGAAAGAATTTCCTCCTTATATCCAATCTAAACTTCCCCTGTTTAAGTTTTAAGCCATTAGCCCTTGTCCTATCACTACAGTCCCTAATGAAGAGTCCATCCCCAGCATCCCTATATGCCCCCTTCAGATACTGGAAGCCTGCTATGAGGTCTCCTTGCAGCCTTCTCTTCTCCAGGCTGAACAGCCCCAACTTTCTCAGCCGATCTTCATATGGGAGGTGCTCCAGTCCCCTGATCATTCTCGTGGCCCTCCTCTGGACTTGTTCCAACAGATCCATGTCCTTTTTATGTTGAGGACACCAGAACTGTACACAATACTCCAAGTGAGGAGAGATTTATCGCAGTTAAAATCCAAGCTCTTCATGAAAAGGGTCCTGCTACTTCTCCTTCATCCCAGATTATTAATTCGCTCATCCTCTTCTTGCCACACCTAACGCTGGTGTAGATCTCTGATGAGTCAGACCAAGGAGCTTACTTTGGCTGAAGACTAACTTAAAATAGAAATTTACACTCTCCAGAGTGCCCTGATCTCTCTCATGGCATAACAAGGGCTGGACCAAGGAAAGGGCAGCAATTCAGAACCAGATGCAGTGAAATTATGTTCTTCAGCAGCTCTGTTGATTTAGATTAAGCTTCATAGTGATTTTAAGCTGTCCTATTGCTTCCTGGAAAGATATGCTGTGAGTAGCTCGAGTTTATGCCAGTCTTGAATACACTGTCATGATAGAAACAGGAAACGTGAAGTACTACCTGCTGTACACAACATAGTTTTGAAGAGTCATTGAGTATCCAAAACTCATATTGATATATAAATTATTCTGGTAGTCTCTACATAGAGATGCTTGTGTTAGATGTAGCTTTAATGAGACCTAGTGCTCATAAATACTTCATGAATAGAGGAAGATGTCCAAACTGGAGATGGCTCTGGTCCTTCCCTGAAAATCTTGGCTCCCTATAATTAAATCTCACCTGTTAGTTTTGCAA